TTATGGTAATTATAAGGAACTTTAATTATCTGGAAATGTATCAGTTTTAATTACATCGAGTGTTCCAAATTATAAGCCATTATACCATTCTTCTGGCCAGCTATGAATGCTTACTTAGTATATGAGACATTTTATTCAATTTAAAAAAGATACAAAAGATATGTTTTTCTTAATAAACTACAAAATTCTGTTGGAGCAATATTTTTGGACAGAAGTCAACTGCTTGAGCTAAATGATTAGGAGATAATTTTGACATTAAAAAGATGAAAAAGAGCTAATCAAACATGTTAGAACAAAACCAGTATGCTTTCATTTGATTCAGGGTGGGTGTTAACTTATCATTTTGCTTTAGAAACTTGTTTGATCAGATGTTCTATAGATACATGTACATGGATAATTAGGTATGAACCATGTACTTGTTAATATGTGCTTGCAGTGTCAATCACAAAACCTGTATATAATTATATGTTCTTTTTCAAAATTAAATATCTTGTTAAAAACATATAAATGCTTCAGAAACAATCAAGTCGACTCAAACTACCAGCATTTATAAATAATCCAATGTCAGCAAATAATATTAGATAAAAATAAATCCATACAATTTCAAGCTCTGCACTGTTAGGAAAAATACACACTGGAAGGGAGATAACTCTGCATTGATTACAATGAGTTTACAATGGTCTGCAGATACACTATGTACATTGAAATACTACTAGGAACAAGTTATCTGGTAAACATTTTAGGATACAAAGTTCTTTACTAGTCAAATTTTTATGATGAATGTACTTGATCTAATAACTATTGACCTACTGACTGAACAGAATAAATAAAATAACATTTACTTTTATTACTCAAAAAAAGTGTGTATTATCAATTTTTAAGATGCATGGCTTATATTTTCAACCAAAAATGACAGTGTAATTCAAGAGCAAAATATGCATATAGCGAAGACCAGAATTGAAGAATTTGATAAAACTGTCACTATATAATACTGCATGACTTATTAAGCATCTTTGTATCATTTTTGATCAGTTAATTTTATGATAATTTTGTACATAAATTAAATCTTGATTTCATGGAAAAAGTGTCATTTGAAAACATGCATAAGAACCAAGGAGAAAATATTTATGAGTTATCTCCTTTCACAGAGTTAAATCTAGATTCAAACTGACTTTTTAAGATATCAATTTTCATTGGTTAGTAAATATATATAGATCATGTTGTCATTAAGGGAAATAACATTAGATACAATAGATCAAAATGTATAAATATTTTGTAATAAAAGCATTACCAGGTATCTGATGAGTTAATCATCACGATTTGACAGTATTAAGCTGCTGCAAACATGTAAAGCTCTAAAAGTAAAACTATTTTTAGTAAGTTTGTCATTCCTATTTTCTTACCCAGGTAATTGTACATGTCATGCCCTTGTTTGATGTGATCATATGTCTATTGTGATCAGTAATGCTATCTACAAAATCTAGTAAAGTGACCTGCAGCTTTTTATTCACAAAATACTGCATCAATATCTTTGGGACAAGTGAGTGTTCATAGCAAATGGAAAATATTAATACATAGTTTATATTCATATATATATAGCAATACTTGTCCTATTTTTACCTGTTGACCCTATAATTACAATAATTTGGGCTGTGAAGAGTGATGGAAAAGGACCTGTACTGTTTTGGACTGCCCCAGGCTGTGGGTTATGTAGATAAAATGACTATAACTGACAGTGACACTCTCAAGTAAAACACCTATGGTCTTTTACCGTGTCCTTGAAGATTTATCTCTGCCTTCATTTCAAGCCTTATGTATATGTATATCATTCAAGAACACTGACTGTATTTGTGTGAATATTCAACTTGTATATAAATACTTGACATAAAGTTTAGCATATTGATCTATTTGTTTGTTCAGAGGATGCTTTAAAGCTTTAAATTATTTGAAATAGGGTTATTACAGAGACTACAGATATTTTATGATATAATAGAGAAATAAAAAGAAATACTTTATTAAAAAGTGTGTTATGAATATTTATAGAAATATTGGTGTATTACATACAAAATCAATTCAGATATTGTTGTACAATTTCCCAAATATCACAGCATTTTGTATTTGTTATAATATAAGGATACAATGCAGGTTGGTGTGTGATAAGGGATGTGCTGGGTTATGCAATAGCCCTCTAAACAAACAACCTTATAGCTATAAATCATCTTTAGTTATTGATTGGCAGGCTATCTGTTAACCAGAGTACCTCGGCATTATTTATTACATGCATCCTGTCATGATAATGAATCAAGTCATCCGGTCTAAGACAAAGATTAATGTTTGTTTCTAATGCTAACAACTGGAACTGATATATCTTCTTTCTAAATATCATATCAGAGAGTAGAAGTAGAAATATATGTATTAATAAAATTATTGAGTGTTGGTAATTCTACTTAAATCATTAGCTGTATTATATGTGATTATTGATATATGTTATGATAACTGTTACTATACTATGGCCAATATATATGTATACACTTGGGGAATTCATTTCTACTTTCGGCAATCATTTAAAATTCAATCGTTGGTCTGCGGATGGAAGCTTGAGGCAGAAACATGTAAAACAAGTAAACATTTACTGATGCGATCTAGATTATATCAACTCTGTTTTGTGACTAAAGGAATATAATATTATACAGCTTCAGGTTATTATAGCTGCAGGATATATGAAGTTGTCAGGTATAGCCTACAATCAGTCTTATAATGTCTAAACTGTCAGCATGGATCAATGTACAAAGGGTAGCTGTGATATTGTCAGAATTAATACATGAAATCTGTTCTGAATATGTTACAGTTGTACTGCTGATAAATATTGTATTGTGAATGTTAAAATTTGGGCTTAAAATATTGCAATACATCAATATATCTAAAAACTAATACTTCTATGCCTGATATATATTATATACAATTGTATAAGGCAATTACATGTAATATGGTAATGTGTCTGGAATACGTATAGTATATATGCATATACACTTGAAGTAAAACATGGAAATGCCAGATAATTTTACATGAATTTTATCTGTATTGAATCTGATTCAATTTATATGTGTATTCAGTTGTGATGGAATAATAAAATACTTGCGATCACTTTTTTAAAGTATCTTAAAAGCCACAGTAAATTATGCGACAAAAATGCTAGCTTTATATTTATGTCCATCTGTGGATTATAATTACTGGCTCGAGCTCCCTTATATGCATAAGCCTTATATGGTAAATTGGTGTGTTAGCCTTAAAAGAACTCATTTAAATTAAAACAATTTTAATTATACCTATAAATAGTATAATACAAATGCATACCAATTCTCACTTTCCAGTACACATTTTGAATGTGGTACAAGGAAATAAACATGCGAGCTTTCAATATTAAAAAATGTATATATGTTTGAAGATGTAAATGTTATTGATATATCAATGAAGCTTACCTGTCGATGTTACATCAGATATCAACATTAATGATATGATCACGACAGCCCTATACTTAACCTGGCACATTTATGAGGCCTTGCGTCAGAGTTGTAACTGTACTATATATGGTGACTGTGGTGTCAATCTGTCTGTAAGAACTTTGAATCCAACAGGTAATGAATTGTTATGCATGTATGTAGATACGCAACAGAGGTTTAAAAGTTTCTTAGTATCAATAAAGGCTCAAGTCACTGTCACTTAAAAAAGAACACGGGATATATAAATGTATAGTTTCAAAATGATTAGTACTGCCATTTCAGATTTACCCGAGTTTTCAGTTTGATGATAAATGGTATTACATGGCGGATACCCTGCATGAACATCACTATGCAATCAAGATCCAAAAAAAACAAGATACCCGCCAGTCATAATTCAAGGTCACTGTTACTCAAAATAGAACAGAAGAGTATAAAAACAATTTACTTTTATGACCCTTTCTGAATTGTCATTGATTTATTTCATTAATTTTCCAAGATGGAATCATCTGTGTTTATTGGTTCTTAGTTAAGTCTACTTGTACATTGTAAATAAAGGGGTCATGTACATGATGGTTGAACTGTGTAGGTGTCTGCATGAATGTCTGCGATCATTAGCCCTCCACCACTAGGTCGCAGGTTCAGGGCCTATGTGGGGCACTCACCACTGGTCGCAGCTACATGTAGGTTGGTGCTCCTTTTCCAGTTACGATCTCAGCTGACTATAGCTGTTAATTAGATAGGATGTGAAAAAAAATACAAACAAAAATGCAAATATTGTAAATGAGATTATATTATCCAGATCCCATAATCAATTCTAGCTTGTGGTATTGACTATCTGCTTTCAGGCTACACGCTATGTTCTAAATCTATTGATCAGATACTGTTCATGCTTATTGGTAAATGGTACTTTTCAGATAAATACTAAATGTGTAATGCATCACTACCACGTACTGTTCTGAAATCCAAAATGATGGCTGTGGCTTCTGCTTGACAATAGTGGGGAACATATATGGTCAGGCACATGACAGGGCCCAGCTTGCTGTGATCACCTGTCAGTATTCCAGATATCCTGATACTGATATATAGCTTATTTAAAACCGACTCCTGACTGCAGTATACACCTTTACATAAATATTGCATGAAACCCTAAATACTGTATAATAATATCCTAACGTATATTTGTAAGGCATCAATTTTATTGTCTGTATGTATGCATTCTGACCAAAATTTGTTTAAAAACAGATAACACTCAACACAGTCACTTATCACATAATTGACTTTACAAAATTATGATCCATATTACGCAATATACTGGTTCCATACATAGCTATAGGATCACCAACAAGCTGAAATTTGAAATTATGATGTATTACGCAATATACAGGTACTTTAAACAAACACCAACAGGTAAGTTTTTAATTCTTAATAGGAAATAACTATACTTTTGAAATTGCAATTTGCATCTTTAAAACTACATTAGAACTAGAAGTTACTTAAAGCTTTTCTTTTACTGTAAAAGCCCAAGACATTAATTACGGTGCAGTCAGTTTGAACAGATTTTGAGTGAATATACATTTTTTAGTGGCCTAAATTTTAAAAGAAATGTATTGCTTCATACGTGTACCACTTTATGTGTGTATATTTGAGCCCTAGAGCTTCAATTTGTTACTCATGACATACATATTTTCGGCTAGCTATGTTGTATATATATATCACTGACTACATATATATAGACTCTCAACCGCTGATCATAAAAATATAAAAAAATACAATCCATCAAAAGTTTTGGTATTGTATCATTGTACAAACACTGATCAGATCACACAGTGAACAGCTAAAGGACACATTTGCGGTTAACGTGGAATTTAATTAATTTTGGCGAATTTACGTCAGTGACGCTTGGTTTGCCACATGTACGTGTACTGATACGTAGTGTGGCTGTGTAAAGGTAGGGACACCTGTGGATTTCACATCATTATAACCTCTACCATGTACAGCAACACACACTACATCCTCCTATCCCAGGTATGACCTCATCATCAGTGTATTGATTCATGCTTGGAATATTGGGATTGGATTTATCATTCTGTTTCCACAGCTACCAAGTTTGTATTGTGTCTTCAATATTCAATGTCATTGGGGACATGCACATGTCATGGCTTCGATTCTGTCTCGTTCCACATGTGTCATGTGAAATGGGATTTGAGATTTGTGATTGCAGCAAAATTTCTTCTTCTTTCTTTTGTGGATAAAATTGTTCTTTAAGATAGTGCATGTATGTAGAGGAAATAATGGTTAAATTTACAAAGCACGTTTTAATATGCACTTATCATTATGCAATTTCATATATACCTGTACATATATACATCTATTTCAAATTTTGTATTGCGTATGCATATAAGTGTATCTATATGTATGTTTTGTTGCATGCAACTCATCTTTTCATTTGTTAATGTTCAAGTTGTTTAATTTTATTTATACATTTATGTATGTCTTACAAAGTATGCTGTCTTATTTCATGTTTTGTTTCGATTAATGTAAAATTATTTTTGATATGTTCCTCTAGATTTAATTACTATAATATTGTTATTCAATGTTTTATTATTTCTGTTCATGATTACTTTGTCTACAGGTTTTGATAGTTAAGATTGTTTAGTAACCATGGAGACGAACCCATTACTGGACGCGTACAGCAGCCATGACAAGGAGGTCAGAGAGGGAATCAGCTTGATTTGGTTTTGCATGCTCCTTTTCAGTGTGTCCTAATCATTTGTAGTGTTTTCACTCTCCACTTTGTTTTTACTTGTACAACCTTTGTTTATTCTGTGTATTTTCCACCTCACTTTCCACTTTGTTGTGCAGAATTTTAGATAAACCATGACTGCTTAACTGATTTTCAACAAAAGGAGACCTTGAACATCAAATGATAAACAAATGTGTATATATACGTACTTACTTGAAAAAAAGTTCTTTTTCTTAATGTTGGGTCAAAAATAAAGAAAAATAAATAACGAAATTGTCTAAAAAAGCATTTCTGTTCATTCTGATGCTAAACAACATCATTATCTGTCCAATCGTTGTTAAGCATCAGAATAATGGACATGAAATACATACTTAAGCTTACATACCGGTTTATGTCCTTGTCATGTATGTGATTCTATAAAGTAAAAAAAATCAAAAGTTTAAAATAACTGTTAGTTCTTGAATGACATCAGTGACCCATTATCAGTTATGGAAGTTTACAGATCACATTTTATTTTCTAGCAACGATGAAGCCATGATCATAATCAAATGTGTTGGCTGAATGTGGTCCCAGCATATAAATAATTAAAGGCTTTTAACTGAAAGCTTGAATTTTAAAAATATTTTGTAAAAAAGTCTTGAAATAAGTCTTCAATGTCTCCTTTTGTATTTCTTGATTTTGTATTTACATGTAGTAACATAGCTAGTAAATATGTATTGCAATACTTGTCATATACAGTTTCTTTTTCTTCATTATACATATATCTGATCTTTTGCAAATTGCTTCTTCATCTCTTTACAGAATACTCATAAGACATTTATAAATGATATATGCATTCTTCTCTTTATCCATTTATGATTTACATGTCCTTTTGTTGATTTTGTTCAGATAAAACAATTAGGTTGTATTTCCCAATTTGATATTCGAAAAGACTTTTAATGTATTCCAAATATTATTGCGAAATAGACAAAGTTTTCGTATGTCTTTATCAAGCCGACAGCTATTCTGTCTTTGCGTATTGCAGAGTTGTCTTCTCTTGTTAGCAGGTATTAATTGTTACCTCATTGGTTTGTGAGAGTAACGTCATCAATTTTTGAGAAAACGACGTAATTTTCTCACACAAACCAATGACGTAACAATCAATACCTGCTCACAAGGGAAGACAACTCTGCAATACGCAAATACTGAATACCTGTAAGGTGTAATATACATGACATATGATAATTACATTTTACACAAAATTGCTGTTGTCTGACTGGTAATTGTTCGGTAGCAACAATGACAAATTTGCTCCTGAAACCCATGTATCTGTTCTGTGCTATAGTTGTTTTCTGTCATAGTTTAGTTCTACTCCAGACCTCCCTCTATGTAGATCTACGTGTTATATACCTCCGAGTACCCAGAACCATCACCCTACTTGTAAATAAATTGATGTATAGAATTAGCAAGATATAAAGCTAAGACACATATGTATACAGGTACATGTATATATACTTAGTAGACTCATTGTCAATGAAAACGTGATGCTACTAAGTTAGACACTGTATGTATATATGTTAACCCTTTGAGTGCTAGTCACAACTATAGTTGCGCTGTATGTCTGTGGCCACCACTGCTAACTATAGTTGCACATTCTATAAAATGGTATTTTATATGGTCAACAGATAATCGTGTTGATTAAAATTTAATCAAACATCAAATAACCAATTTCCATTGGTATTAATATGTTTTAATATTAACACAAGTATTATTTTTGCAATATTTTTACTAAAATTGTGACTTATGAAGTTATATCTAAATTTGAACTGCAGTGAAAATTAAATTTTCCTCATTAATTCAGCACTGATTGGTTACCGTATGTATTTTAATGTAGCACTCTAAGGGTTAAATGATACATAAATAGGAACATTTTCCTATTGGCACATTCTGGTCAAAGCATGAATATAGTTGTATAAAGTAAACTTTTCCCCTGTCAATTCTGTGCCAGGGTTGAATTCACTTTCCCTTTGTTTTGAAACTAAGGATAAAAAGGTCAGAAAAGAAAACGATGACAAAATTTCCAATTTTATAGGAAAAAAGGATAAAAGTTTTAACTTTACATTATACTATTGCCCCTGAAATTGTGGAAACAAGTTGTTACAGTTTTGATATATTGGACATTTGGAATTAGTAGCCTGTACCACTAAAATTGTTTTTTTTAGTTTTAAAAATGCAAATCAACTAATTTTTACCATTCCTAGCTCATTTCACTACGATTATAGATTTGTCCAATAAAAATACTAACAAACGAAATATAATTAAATTTTGAAAAAATAATCTCTGTCTACAACTAGCTGAAAAAAGCAAACAATGTCAACAGTAATAACATACCTCAGAAATTACACTTCTGAAAGGTGTTTTAGTATTGTAGTGATAAATATATAAATGAATATTTTCAAATTCTGTACATAAATGAAAGTTTCAGGAGGTTTCCTGGAATGACTCGAGATAAAGTACATTTTGCTATGGGAATACAAATTTTGAAAATGGTTTATTAATTTGTGGTATTACAATCTCAAAAACTGATAAACCAAATTAAGTGCAGGGTAGACTGTAATTTAAAATTAACTGATCGTCTCCTGCTAAACAAATTTAATACAGCACAGTTTAAAATGGATTGATTGAAAAACATGATTCATCATGATTTCTTCATGATCTGTCAATGTTCTTCAGCAGTGTATCAGATCAATCTTCTTAATTTGTTTTGAGTTGTAAAATTGATTCTTCACAAATTAATCATGTAACACCATTTATTTATTTTTGTGAATTAATATTTGTCCGAGATTATAACGATTTCCCTACTGCTTTTATCCAGCTTTGACTTTTTCATTCATTGAATGAATTCCTACTACCTTCCCAATATTGCGGACTATAAGCATGCTGCTGCTACATCCTATGTATACGTACCAGGCATTTAGTATCTTTCTAAAACCAAATCTAATACAAGGATGTTTGATATTTACAAATCATTTCATGAAAAAGAAAAAGGGAACGATTTTTCTATTGGATTGGGTTTGTGTAATGCACCTGAAAAAATGATAAAATTACATGTACATCCATGATATTACATAGCTGTTTTACAGGTCCATGGAAACATCCCATGTGTTTGGTTTTGCCTTAGATGGATTGCACAGCATCTCCAGCTAGCTTATAGATCCAGCTTGTAGCTAATGAGGCTTTATCTCTTGGCATTGTCCTACAAATTCATTGGCAATTGCTTTATCATTCAGACCTGTTATCAGGATGTTTTCTTGCATTGCAACCAGTCGTGAAACCAGTAAATCCTAGATTACCATGTAAATGTATAAAATCATGGAGACAAATACAATAAAGAAAAAATATTGGTCCTGGTTGAAAGGTCATGATCAACAAGGTATTCACTGGCTGGCTGCAATGTTCCTTTCCATCTCTGCTTAAACATGTAAAGAGCTTCTGTAGAATATTGATCCTACCTTCAACTGTTGTATTTATATAAATTGTGTTGCCAAGACTAATTACCTTCAAGTGATATTTGTACTAATATTAACCTTCCATACACTCATTTTTAAACAATTTTAATTAAAGATGGATATTCTTTAATGTTTGTTAAAACTTGTTTTTTTTGGTTTATTGTAATTTTTATATTTCATTTTCTAATTATCATTGCATGTTTTAAAATATTGTTTTGATGCAAATAAAATAATGCATGTAAACAAATTTGCATTGAACTATTTTCATTGTTAAAGCACGACTTTTTATTTCATATATTAATTTCCCATTATTATTAATGCTATCATTATGCATAATTTAATGGCAGATTATCTGCATTTAAACCCTGGGTATTGTGTTAACAAATCACGGCAGGGGTATGCATCATGGCTAAAAATGCAATGCAGTAGTTACGTAAATGTGGGTGTTTAAATGTATGCAACATTTGCATGTATATATAGTTACCAAATGTTTTATGAATGACGACTGACTTTGTTGCATTATTTTTTAACCTAGGAGAGAACTATGGAGAGGATCACAGACATCGAGTTGAGCAGTATCCAGACAGAAGACCCTCAAGCCAGGTCTTTTTCAAACAATGCCAATTCAATACTGATACAGGTACAGTAAATGAAGACCTCAATTTTCCAATTTTAGGATATGATCCCTATCCCACTGCACTGTGGTTTTCCTATATATACGTATATAGAATCCTCCCTTAATTTCATTTTGATAAAACTGCAGCATATTTGGGTCAGGGTACTGTCATTGACCAGATAACTTTTTGTAAGCGTGATATATAAGCCTGGTTTAGCCCAATTGAATTTACACTTAAAACACTCATTATTTTTTTCAATGGATAGTTACATTTTTTCTTCACAGTGGCATGGGGATCCTAAACAAACTGGTACTGAACATTCTCAAAATCTTCTTGGGGTTAAAGGTTAGTTGCCAAATGAAAAAGTGAAAAATATACGTTAGGTTAGAAAATTCACCAACCGATAGAGGAACATAATTGGAAAAAAACTACCAAACATTTGAGATCGCCAGGCGATGAACATTCTTTGAGTTCGTGCTTTTTTGATACAATGGTCTGATATAGAAGTTCAAGATGAATATTTTTTAAATTACTCTTCTAATGAACTGCAGGGCCTAGAGTCCTTATTTGTCTGCTAGCTTGCTTGAAGAGTTATCAAGCTTGTTCAACTAAATGACCTTGACCCATATTCAAGTTTGCAGGTATCAAATGTGTAAAAATCTTAAAAACAACTTCTCTTATAAACAATATATGATGCCTACAGTAATGATATATGGTCTGTAACTTGATTGTATACTTGGCTATCAAGTGTGTTTTCAAATACGTGACATTGCTTACTTTCAATGTTTTAGGTCAAAAGTCTTAAACGTTTTAACAATTTCTTCTAGTAAACTGAGGATTGAACTGGTGTTTTACCTGTAACTTGTTGGGTAAAAGAGCTGTCAAATGTTTTAGATCTACATTGTATATGTACATCTCAAGGCAGATGGAAGCTGTGTCATTCTCGTAAGAAATAGGTTCCTCTGTCAAGTTACAAATTAATGCACATTCATCAAAAGAGATAAAAAACAAAGCTGTATCTAGTTTTTTTACTTTGGGTACGGGTATACATACAATTATCTATAGGGAGGTAATTTTTTTTATTTTATTTCAGCAAGTTTTATTTGTTTATACATTTCCGTAAATTTACTGTAATTTGCACACCTATGTAATTTGCGCAGTTACTTTTTTGGGCTGAAAATCTATTTTGCTCATCAATTTATTTTGCTCAAAACGATGTACATATAGACAAATTTTAACTCGTGTGAGGTAAGGTCACATTCAAACATGCATTGAGTTTTTCATGAGAACACCCAATAATTGCCCCAAGCAGCAAATCATCCCTTTTTCAAATCAATTAAGACCTTGTGTGGAAGTCTGATGCATGTAGACCCTGGAAACTTCAATACCTGTATGTGTGCTGCCATACCAACAGCACCAGCTTATATTTAGTAACAAATCAAACCACCAACTACCTTCTGCCTAATGGTGGTTATAAATTAAACAGTTGGGAATTACATAATATACATATAATGCAGTAGTACATAGGTAATAAGCATATGCACAGTTTCAACACCTGACCTGGATTTAGATTAGACTTACGCTATTCATTTAAGGCTTAAAGCTATATATATTCATTTAAGGATAATGTGCTGGTGATGACATCATCTTGTAGCTGTGGTACATACATAGTACAGCTGTATGTAAGGAAGGGTTGCCTATGAATTGTTATTTTCTTACATACCTGAATTTATCAGGTTCCTGTTACAGAATAGTGACTTGCATTTCATTTGCTGTGATCATGACAGTATCCTGATCAATCAATCACTATGACAAGTTATTTCTAGGTATTACATGTACATAGGCAGAAAGCTTAAGGATAGGAGGAAACTGGGATTAAGAATGGCAGGGACAAATAGGATCATAATGACACGAATAAAAAATTGAAGTGGCTCATAGTCATACCTTTGGGGAATTCATGTCTTAAAGGACATAAAGGTATGAATATAAATAATATAAATCATTGAATACTTAACATAATGCTTATAAATGTACAGAGGGAAACAGCATCACAATGACCTAGATTCTTCTTGATTGTTTATAGCATTGTCAGATAAGCAGAAAAGAAACAAATTTTATGCTTGCTCTTGGTAGCTCTTTGTCATTTGCTATTTTATTTGAAACCTATATGTTACTGGTCGTAATAAATCATGATCAATTACCAGCAGATGTCTTTTTTGCCTGGATCCAATTTCAGACAAATTATCACTCAAATTTCAATCGTGGTATGTGAGTTGCTATAGGTGAAATAAGAACCATATTGATTTTGGGAGTAGTCCATCAAATGGTTAAAGTTACTGTTATTCAAAAATACAATTTCACAGAAATCTTAATGAATTACATGCCTTGATGATAGCTTCCGAACAAATGATACTGGAAAAAGCTCTAATTTAGTATGGGGATTGAGATTTTGGACAAGGTTCATCAAAGGTCAAGGTCATTGAACATCATTGAAAATGCATGAACATTGTTTAGAGTTAAACTCTCCTAACATTAGAAAAAAATACACATAGTTCAGGTGTGTGAGCTGCCGTAGCTGAAAGAAGGTAATTTCTGTCATGGTCTGCCAAAGGTCAAAGTCAATATGTATGCATGTTTTACTAAAAACAACTATATACCGTATAAATGAATAATCTGTTCATATGCTGATTTGGGAAAAAATAGATGACCAAAGCTCAAACTTAGTATATGGGTTGCCTTTGAAAAAGAGTAGGAAGCCTGGATGTTTTTGCATGGTACATAAAATTTCATTTCTTGCATACATTTTGTAGGGATAAAAATTGACTTTGGCAAAGGTCAAGGTCACTCTTGACATTGAATAAGAGTTTGTCCCATACTTCCTTCGAAGAAAATATAAGAAAATATTTTTTTTGGAAAATCGAGAGAACAGAAAAGGTGAAGGGGTACCTGTTGGTTGAGATTTATTAATAAATCCTGATATCATAAGGGATAGGTCAGTTTATTACGAAGCTCATTCAAACGTTGTTCGGCTGGTGACAGTTCAGGGGTAATGTCTCAAAAACAACACACTATTTTGTATGAATGTTCTTTTACACTCTTGTCAGTTACGACTAACACCTTACAGTATTAAAGCATCATTGATCAGAAATGAAGCATTACTATTAATTTCTGGATTTTTCTGTACTGAATCGTTAATTAAAGCTTTTATTGCCAGTAAACTTGACTACATTTGGGTGCAGCAAGCATTAGGTCAATAACTTAAGATACATCTAATACAGCAGTCACTTGACAGTGAAAGTTTTATTAGGGGTTTTGCATAATCCTGAATTATGTTGTAAACACCTTTGGAACAATGCATAGCCAATATGGGTATGTACATTATATATTGTACATGCATTGATTAAGGTGTATGGTTGTATACAATGTCTATGCCACATTTGAATACATGTACATGTAGTTGCAATCTATGCACTGCATTCTGATTGGTTGATGTTTTTCAAACAGTATAGTTACTTTTCACACCTTGTTTTGATTATGAGCATGCACAAATCCCAGAAATGATTGTATGGGTTGGTTGATCCATACTACATAAACAGGTCATTATTGACTTTTTCAACTAATGGTACATGCTTTTTCAATGGGAGTTTTCCTATATAAACCTTTACTATTTTTTTTCAATTTTCAATTCAAATATGGTCTGTGGCTCCTAGCTATAGTCATGTCCATTTCCAGCACAATAAAGCACATTTCCGTGAATAAACTTGGTAATTGCGTATGTGAAATTCAGTTTGTTATGGGTGTTATATAATTACTTCAGCATCTCTGAGATATGATTGACATATTGTCAATGACATCTGAAATTTATTAATTAAGATTTAAATGATATAAAGTTGGATTATCTTTGTGAAAAATAGAAATAAAATCTTTCCATGACCTTTCTTTCAAACAGCTTCATATATACATATATGTGCCTTATGGGCATTGGTTCTATATCTGGACATGACTTCTAACTCTTGTACCACGTCGTCAGCTGTCTGCATGTGCTTCCTGTCTGGTAAACCAAGTCTGACCTTTCCATGTTACTTGTAGGTGTACATGTTCTTGCCGCATTGATGTCAGCTTGCTGACACATATCAGTAGTGTACATTATAAACTTGTATGATGTATTCCAAGTGGAGGATAAGGAGTGTGACCAAGTTTACTGTTAGATTTGAAATCCTTACACGTTATATATGCTAACATATAAATGATTATACAGTTTAGTGAGGAAAACTGCACATGACTACCAGTTTGATTGATGATTCATAATGTCATTTTAATTACATTGAAACAAGCTTTGGTAAGATATCTATTTGTAAGTCATCTAATCTGGTCAAAGGTATCAAACAGATGGATTATTTTAACAATTTTATGATGCCTTTTTCATCTGATTTTTACCTGTTAATATTACGTAATATTATCAGATACTATCAGGTACTTGTTTAATCTTACAAAAAAAAGTATGGTTAAATGAGAGCTGAGTTTACACTGTTTATAGCAGTTATATACTGTGATATAATGAGCATGGTATCACTAATAATAGGAAGTTGTTAGATGTAAAACAAGAAATTTCATTTAGCATATAGTCAGATTAAATGTGTCGGCAGTGTCCAACACATTAAATTTCCACGTGGATCTGTTCATGCGAGACATGATGAGTAAATTATGATAATTGTGTGTGACAAAGACCTTGTGGAAATGACTCTTTGTCTGCTCTGGTTTGAAAGTCATGTAAAGTCATTTAGACATCCCTTCATTCAATTGCAATTTTGTTATACAAATATATCAGATTTTACAAAACTTTCATTAATAAAATGAAACAAAACAAAAAACTAGAAGGGATAAGGGATTAAACAAATTAAATTGCAAATCAAAATATCTGACGATTGGCTTGAAGTTGTATACCCTTGTATACCGAGATATCTTCACATTAAATGTATATGTGCATACATGTACTTTCCATACTGCCGTATTGCTTTGTTCATATTTTTTCTGTCATACACATCAACATTACCATTAATTCTTTATGTCATCAAAGTACAACTGTGTATTTTATGCATATACAGGTTTACCTATAGCTTTATCTAGTATAAAATTATTTACATATATACATATTCAATATTTCTTGGATGAAGCCCCCATACTGTGACATGTATATATATATATCCCTTTGCCAATGAACTCAAACCTATAAAACTATCAAAATGTCTTCTGTCAATGGTAATCTAGACTAGGTTATTAATTAAATTACAACAATACATTCATTGACAAACATTTAACATTTTAGACAGTACTTTAGAAGTTTAACATGGTGCTAATTTGAATAATAATTATGAAAAAGATATTAATGGACATAACTCTTTTTTTTTTAGAAAATCTCAGGCTTATATATATTTTTGCCAGGTAATGAGAAAAACGAATCACATTTTAAAGTGATCTACAGTACATTTTAGAACGTTGCTGGAGGCGACTGTCTCCTTTATAAAAAGATTTTCTTAACTTAGTCTTTTTGTGTTTCAGGAAGATGACATTGAGACGCCGTACGGAAATCTCCATGTGGCTATACAGGGTGACCGTTCTAAAATGGCAATCATCACTGTTCACGACATTGGCCTCAATCGTAAGTGTGTTGATCTCAAATGATCTTACTGTCTATGACCAATTTTAATTGCTCTCAGTATGTCAACATTGAGCTATAAATTAAAATGTAATATTGTCTGACAGTGTAGGAAAAAGTACGCTGTGAGACAAGAACTGAATTTAAGCACTCTGTAATTATGACTCATATGTTTCATTTGTAATTTTTGTTTTAAAATAAAATGAGAGTCATTAATAATTGGTTTTAACTTTTGGGAGTGTATTTTCATGAAAAGGTGTACTTTTGATATACATGTTAAATCCATAGCTGTTAAGTGTTTACAGTAAACAGGTTTGACCATGTATAGGTACATAAATATTGATATTTCTTTTCTAATCTGTTCATTTGTTAATGGATTGTTTCAGACGTGACAAACTTTCAGGGGTTCTTCAGTTACCAAGACATGCAACCAATCCTGCGACATTTCTGTGTTTACCATGTGAATGCTCCTGGCCAGGAGGAAGGTTCCCTACACTTGAGACCCGAGTTAGTATCTCCACCACGCCCATACTCGTACATCAAACATACCCATATTAACAGGCCTGTCACCAGAACGCATGTACCTTGTACCAGCCTCTTATTTCTCAAAAAGAAAAATATTTGTTCTCATTAAAGTAATATTCAAAATTTATTTTCATTTTATTTAGTAATTTTGTGTTTCTTGTCACCAGCATGAGCATTAAAAAAAAAATGTGTAATTTAAATGAATGAATAGAAACAAACAATGAAGTAAATCTCAGCATACATCAGTATGAACATAATCATTTTTAGCCACATCTGTATACAGTGTATATATTACTGCAATGCTAAAGCAGATCTAAGGATACATTGTCCATGATGCAGTGAGAAAATTTAAATTAAGCTGTAATTTTTTCTTTTGAAAAATACAGGCCTATTACAGGTATACCCATTGTATCAAATGCCTTTATATATATATACTGGTCAACATGCATGTGGCTATGACAGGACAGGAAGCTGAGGACTGGTTTGCTCATAAGCATTGCTTCAGTAGGCAGCTCTGTGCACTTTTGTGCAAAGATGCATTCATATCATTGACTAATGCTTGATTAATTGATTAATGGCCTGCATATTTTGAGGAAGCTTTTTGAAATAGAAGGATTATTGTTTTTCTGCTGTTGGCATGCTCCATCAGGTAATAGTGAAAGTGTTTATGAGTATAGTACTTAAATATTAATGGGTTGAAAGTAACATGCATTTTTCTCTGGTCTATAGGTGTAAAAATATAAGTGATACAAGAATTTGGTGATGGAAGGAATATGTGTGTCAGAAAAATGATTGGGTGAATGTAGGTTATTAACTTGCATTTTTGAAACAGGGTTGTTAAAAGTCTGCATGAGAAAAATGTAGGTGGCATACATAATAGGTTGATACACTCAAGTTATCTAGCTTCTTTCCTAGTGGTAACATTCATCAATATATGGATATTCTGTACACTTTTAAAATCCCATCTTTTTCAAAAGATTTGAGCAATAAATCAAAATAAAATAATTGTGTTAAATAAGAACTTCATTATATTAAATGCAACACGTTGTATTTGGAAAACAATTTTTGTAAAGTCAAAGAAGTTAAATTCTGGGATTGGAAATTTGTGATCATCTTTAATTGAGGCTAGATAAGTTGTGTGTCAACAAATGCATGTGATTAAGTTAATTATGATATCAACAGATTTGAAGAATAATGTTATGCATCATTCTCACTTTTACATAATTTCATTTTTTTTTAAAAAGTTTTTGGTCTGTGATGTCTATTAAACTGCTACTGCATTTATACCTGATGTAGTTGATCAGTTCATGTTACATCTGATTGCTATTTAATTATTAATATATTACGAATGCTTATGACTTGTTTTGTCGCTATTTAGGCATGATGCCCTAGGTAATCCTGACTCACTTGGTAAAAGGTATGTAACAATGTAACTGGAGTGTAACATCTAACTCTTCCTGCTTGTCACCCTTCCCTTTATTTGTTACATTGTATACAACTTTTTCTCATATAAAGATTTTCAGTTCCAGTTTCATTTCCACCTAATTATCCACCTGATTTTGTCATTTTAGCATTGATGGACACTAAGAGTTCTATCACTTTTAAACATTTAGTGTTGAGTTAGCCTGGTACTAAGGACAAGTTTGCTTTTGTCATGACTTTTGTCTGTCAATCTTCTGCTTTAAAACCTTACTCTTCTGAAATGACTTATGTGATTTCAACTACATTTGCTGGGACCAGAGATTCAAACATTAAAAAGGAAGGGTTGTTCCCCATGGGGACTGAGGGGATGGGGTCAAATAAGGGGGGAACTGATAGATAGCAGTTTCAAAAGACTACTTTTCCTGAAGGGCCTTATGAATTTCACCAAATGTAGTATTTAACATCAGTATGACAAGGAAATCAAATGTTGTATCAATGATAAATGAAGAATGTAACCCCCAGCTATTAAATATTAAAAACTCGACATCTCCAGAAGAACTGCAATGTTTGCTCTCATATTTGGTCTGAACATCACTAGGGCAACTTGATCCTATTTTGTATAAATTAAGTTTGAGTGTCTCCTTGGATCAAAAGGAAGGGGCATGAGAATGACCAAATTAAGGGCCAAATAAACAATTACATTTTCAAAAGATTCCACCTTAATAATCCCAGAGATTGTTTCCAAATTTGATTTGAAATGTATATTCAGTGGCAAGGCATGAAGAGGTGAATACTTTCATGCTACCAATATTTGCTCTTGGGTCTTGTCCCACCACTTTGGACTTGCTTCCTTTGTTAGTAACATGCAACACTTAAGATCCCCACCTCATAACAGATATACAGTTTCTGGGTATAAAGAAACAACTACATTTGGTATTGACTAACGATCATGCTACCATGAATGCTCTTTAGGGTCCTGCTTTCTCTTGGGGACTTAGTATTGCATCGGTATCAAGTATCAGTACTTGCTCTTCTAGTTCCTGCTCATAATTTAAAATCTTGAAAGATATCTTGATAATCATTGAGAGTTGAAGTGTTCCAGCATCACCTGCAAAAGGTTTACAGTAGACTGAAGTTACATTGTAGACCACAATGACCTTCAGCTAGGTCAAAAAATAAATAAGTGGAGACCTTTCTATGAAATGTTTTCAGGGTCATAACTTTGAACCTTGAAAGATGTCTTGATGAAACTTGAAATACATGAACGAAAGGAGGTGTACAGTGCACTGTAATTAGGTCACCTTGAATTTGACCTTTAGATCATAGAATAAATTAGTGCAAAATGGTCAGAAAAATTGCTTTCACTCACTTTTAAGCCATTGAAGATATCTTGATGAAACTTGACTTATACATGCATAACGTTAACCCACACAAGGTGTGCACTGTGTTTAGGTACAGTAACTGTGACTTTTAACTAGGTCAAAGGTAAGATTATATAATTAGACCAAAATAGATAAACTGTTGGCTATAAATAAGGGGATTCATATGCTTTTGCTCACAAAGACAAAGCTCAAAACCAAAATGTGACGTATATGTAGTTGTCATCATTGAAATTTCAAGGATGATCAGGTAGTTGTGATATTGGTTCTTGTAGGCATTATAGATATAGTAGCAACAGTTTCATTAAGCCATAACTTGAATGTTGACTACCAGGTATATATCTTGTAGCTATATATAGATTAGATGACTTTGTGTGTTACATAATTTGGTGTGATAGCTACCAGTAATGTTTGCATGATTTTTGAAGTTGTTGTTTAGTGTTTCTGGCATAGATCTAGAGATTCAATTAAAAAATGAGACAGATGTTTATCACAGTCAACCTGCGCCTCAATTTAAATGAAAGTAAATACTATTTCTTATTGTTCAACTTCTCAAAGGAGAAAATAGAGGGAATATAGAGGTTCCCCAACTCATAATGGTTGATTATAATGTTAATCTCACTTTCATTAGATAAACATAATAACCAACCATCATGAGTTTCGGGACCTTTTTATCCTACAACGTTCAGATATATCTAGAAAACCATAGTATTATGTTTCTCTAAGGGAATACATAATTTATGTTTCCGATATGGGAAAAATGCCATGAACTAATGACATCATGGTGTTACTTGGAAGATTGACCAATGAAATCCTGTCCAGGGTGTTACCCACTAGTGGGTAACCAAAAATGGTGACCAACTCCTAGCAGGTTTATCCAATGAGTTTGGAGTGAGTAAACCTATAGTGGTTGTAGGAGAAAAGATAGTCCCAATATTTGATGCAATTCTGAAATAAACATGACAGGAAATAAAGAATTATTCAAATCAAGGCTGATAGAGGGGAGAGAACTAGGAAAAATGTTCAGAAATAAGGAATTTCCTATCTACAATAACTGTTTTGAATACGAGATAGTCCAAATGAAACAGTTATATTTAAATATCTTTTAAAAATGTCCAGTTCCTATTAAAAATATAGATCTATTGTTATTAAAAAAAAAATGATCTGAAATTTATGATTTTAAAGACTTTGTTTTTCAGATTTTTGCTTCTTTTGCCAAAATCAAATCTTACCCTAACTTGTCCTTGAGTTCACTGTTTCTTTAATTACCTTTGGTATGTTTGTAAATTAGTGGAATATAGCCACGAGATATTTTGCCTCAATGCTTGCTTCACTGTGAGTCAAAACGAAAGATGTAATGTTTTAATTATGTTGGTTTTGTGGTCAATGCACACAAATATTTTGTAAATTCTTCGTAATAAATAGTTGAGCAAACAGACATGTAGTACATATGACTCAAATTATTCAGTTTAAATTAATTTTCATATATTTTCATATTAATAATATAAATATTTACGTTTTTGGTAATGGCCATAAACTTCCTTCCAGTCAATTATTTTTCTTCTAAAAGTTTGTTATTTAAGATGTTAAGTCAAGAAAGAAATCAACTCAGTGTATATAATCTGAATAGTTAAGGTTCTGTATCGTTTTATGACTGAAACTAATATGGTGTGTGGTAAACAATTATTTTGTATTTTAGGTATGTGTACCCTTCCATGGACGACTTGGCTCATGCCGTTCAGAATGTCGTGGAAAACTATGAGTATGTATAATACACCTAATATCAAGTTATTAACTATAGTCAAACTTCATCGACCTGCACACTTTGATTCCCGGAGAAAATGCTAAGATTAAAGCATTTCTGGGTAAACAAAGCTTTACTTGTACAGATCGTGACTTACGTTTAATTCTACAATATCTTACAGAATTTAAAATTTGCACTTTGTAAATGGTCTAGGGGAACAAAGTTTGTTCACAAAAGATAAAAGTAGCTGGTATTACTGTCAAGCCATATTAAAATCTGTTAAGATTTGACATAAAACTTTATGGAAAAAATATTTATACTTTATAGCATGAAATATTCATTGATACAAACTTTTGTGGTGTGATTATGTTTGAAAGTAATAAATACTCACTTTAATATTGTGAAAAATAGAAAATGGGATATCACAGGCTAGTTTGTGATACATATTTCTATATCAGAGTAATTATATGCCAAGTTCATGTACTGCCAGTAACTTACTGTATCGTACATATCTTATAATTTAGAAGCACATAGAATTATAGCAATAATTTACTGATATTTGATAACAATATAGTGATTGTTTGAAAGCCATTATATATATAAGCCATTATATATATATTATGTACTTTTATCTTCAAATGAAAATATTGAAGTTCATCTCGCCCTACATAGTACATACATTTATGTCATGAATGATATTGCTGTATTGGAAAATGTGAATGGGATTTTTTCTTTTTTTTTCTTCTTCTTTTTTAAATGTCAGTGTTCACATTCCCCATACTAATTATACACAATTCCATAGTAACCTCAAAAACTGAAAGTAATACACAGTGAATATTTCATTCTTACATTTAAATATATATAAAAAAAAATATGTTGTTCCTTTTGGGATTAATGTCATGGTTAGTTATTTTGAGTACAATGTATCACATAAATGTTGCAGTTGCCATTAATAAGTAATTATTCACATAATTACATAAGAAAACTCAAACATCATTGAGGAATTAGTATTAATTTAAAGTGATTCTTTATCTTACAAGCAAATTCAGATATGATTGTACTTAAGTTGATGGCATAAACAATTCTCCTGCATTTACAGAAAAGTTTACTACTTTGTGCTTAAGGTGAATTTAATAATCTGTTTGAATTTCAGAATTGCCAGGTTCATTGGATTTGGGATGGGAACAGGAAGCAACATCCTCTCCAGATATGCTGTAAGTTCACTTAAAACATGTTGTCTTAAAAATGCGTAAAGGAATTCCTCGTTTTGTAGTGTGCCTGTATATGTTAAGAAGCTTGAGCAAATTCTGTTTGTTTTCTTCCAGATTACCTTTTAATTAATCATTATGGAATTTTGTGACCACTAAAATTGTTCAGCCTGTGATGAGACTGCTGTAGCACAAATCTTTCCATTGAGATTTCTGTGAAAGTAGAAAGGTTTTACCGATTCTGTATTTCCTAAATCATTACAAAAATATGCATGTGAAAAAGTAATCAACACTCTTAAAAGCTTATTTTAAAAATTGATCCGTGATATATTCAGGTAAACAGTTATTATACCTTCTGAAGTGTATTAGTTGTTAAACATTATATATGGAATTTGCAGATAGAGAGGACTCGTTGAAAGTGTCGTAAATATGTAAATTGAAACTACAATCTAAGAGATCATATAATGGAAGACAAAGCATTGAAATCATTGCCTCCACAGTGACTCGATTGCCTATAGCTAGTCTACCATGTTATATCATGTCACCAGGAATTATATGTCCTCATATACTTTCCTTTTCTATTACAGCTGCGTCATCCAGAAATCGTGGACTCACTGGTCCTGATCAATCCTACATCAGGGAAGTCTGGCTGGATTGAATGGGGTTACCAGAAGGTAATATTCCATTAAAGTCTTGCTGGGTTGAATGGGGTTACCAGAAGTTAATATTCCATTAAAGTCTTGCTGGATTGAATGGGGTTACCAGAAGTTAATATTCCATTAAAGTCTTGCTGGGTTGCATGGGGTTACCAGAAGGTAATATTCCATAAAAGTCTTGCTGGGTTGAGTAGGGCTATTCATTGAAAGACTGGTTGGGTGGATTAGGGTGTCGGAAAGTAATACAATGTACTCCATTTAAGTCTCGCTGGGTAAATTTGGGCTATTCATTGAAAGACTGGCTGGGTTGAATGGGGGTATCAGAAGGTAATATTCTATTTGAAGTCTGGCTGGGTTGAGTTGGGCTATTCATTGAAAGACTGGCTGGGTGGATTAGGGTGTCAGAAAGTAATACTCCATTTAAGTCTTGCTGGGTAAATTTGGGCTATTCATTGAAAGACAGCTGGCTGGGTTGAATGGGGGTATCAGAAGGTAATATTCTATCTGAAGTCTGGCTGGGTCGAGTTCGGTTATTCATTGATAGAATGGCTGGGTGGATTTGGGTGTCAGAAAGTAGTATTCTATTTAAGTCTTACTTGGTAAAGTTTGGCTATTCATTGAAAGACTGGCTGGAAGGAGTGAGGTTATCAGAAAATGATACTGGTACCCTGTTGAACTTCTATAAGCTGTTCACTTTATAAACCATTTCTTGCTATTTCACCTATGTTCAAACTTGCTATACTTATGTTTCTTGGGAGGGTTGAGTGTCAATTGAAAACTGTTCCCCTGACCCATACAGAGTTATGACCCTTTGTTCTTTTTTCTCAAACCAAAGTTTTTCCATCCTTTTCCATATTTCCATAATCCTGTCTGTCCATCTGCCAGATTCTTTATTTGGCTCCTTATCACTGAATATTATTCAATGAGTTTTAATGGGCTTTCCAGGGTACATAGCATGTGACAACCGATTGTTTTTCGCCCTGCTGTACTCTCTTTCTATAAATGAAAATATATGGCATAAACAAGACTTTCTCTAAACATTTTCTTCACATTGGTAAGTATGGATTATGAAAAGTTCTTTTTACACAACCAATAAGATTTTCTATGTGACGTTTTGATGACTAGTAAGATATGTACACTTTCACCTTCATCAGACAAATGACCAGTGAAGCGTATGCACACAAAGGTGTAAAATGTGTATGAGTTATCCAAAAAATTGATGTCGATTCGAGATGAGGGGGATCAAAGACTCGCACATCTATGACACCCAAGTATTTAACAAAGTGTAGCTGAATCGAGTTATTTCGGTACATATATAACAACTATTGTACATATGCTTACAGCCTAGCCAAATCAACATCGATTTTGTGAACAACTCATACACATTTTACACCTTTGTGTGCTTACGCTTCACTGGTCATTTGTCTGATGAAGGTGACAGTGTACATATCTTACTAGTCATCAAAACGTCACATAGAAAATCTTATTGGTTGTGTAAAAAGAACAAGGCTTTTATTTAACAATTTTTGAAACCAACAAAGAAATTCTTGATACAGTTTAACCACTTCTCTGTCTTAATTCATCATCACTACTTGACATTATTGGAAAGTGGTTGAAAATCCTTGAGAATTTCAAGAAGGCTTGATCCAATGCATTAAAAAAAGACTCATACAAACACATAAATCTATTCAGGAATGTTTGTGACAGTTTCAATAAGTATATGGTCTATATTTCAGATGAACTCCTGGTACCTGTGGAGTGGCCAGATGACCAACTTTACAGAGGAATATCTTTTGTGGCACTGGTTTGGTTCGGTATGTGATGCTGCTGAAAAATATGATATAGCTTGATGGCTAAATTATTTCAAGCAAACATTAGTTTTGTTATTAAAATAAATCAAATAAATAACAAGTAACTTCAATATTTATTTAGAAATATTTAGATATATTGAAATAATTGAGTTTAAAGATATTTGTTTCATTTGTAGAAAATCACCCATATTTTACATATATGTACATATATATATATATATATTGGAGTCAATTTTTATGGATCACAAATTAAAAAATGTTGATGCATATCTTATCAAACTGTTGCATATATGTTTTCGTTATTTTTGTTATTTTTACAAAAACCTTGTGAATACTTCTTTGAAGTTCAAATTAATTTTTAATGATATGGAATTTGTGTTCTTGTATTTCAGAAAACTAGATGGGAGAATACAGACTTGGTGCAGGTGTTCAGAGAGTACATCAAGACTATCAACCCACAGAACCTGTCTCTCATCACCGAGTCCTACCTGAAGTATGTGATAGGGCAAATATTTTACAATATCAACATTCACTTATAAAAGTAAAGACGAGTTGAGATGGCTTAAATTGATTAATCTTAAATGAATCTGATTCATATCTTCAGCTGAGAGTTAGGATAGACTTGTGCATTCTATCTCTGATTTCCTTAGATTTAATAGTGTGTTAAAAATATTATTAAACTTCAGACTGTGATTAGCATATGATTTAACAATTTGCAATTATTACTCATTTTGCTCAGCTCACTGAGTGGTTCCAGGAAAACTTAGCTAATCTAATACAAAGTGCGTATGTAAAATATCCTCTGTCTACAGCTAGAAACTTTATGAAAATCATCAGAATGTAATATCTTAATGTGTTTGATGAGTTTATTTAGCAGTTAAGGTTTGTTGAGTTTTCCAGGAATAACTCAACATGGTTGGTAAATTGGGGCCAGAATTATGAAGAGTGAGGCAATTCAGTCCCTCAAGAACTGTTTGATTATTTCCCTGTACTGTACAAAAAAACACCATATGTTTGATCTCTTCATGCCAGATGAACTGATCTTTGATTATTTCCCTGTATTGTACTGTACAAAATAAACCATATGTTTTATCTTTTCCAGACGAACTGATCTTGGTATTGTGAGAGAACTTGACCCGATGAAGAGGTCGGGGACTAACACCATCAAGTAAAGAATTATTTTGCTTATGATCTTAAAAGAATTTCCAATTGTCTTGGATCACAAAGTTTCAAGAATTATTAGTTAGAGGGAGTAATACAGTTGTGTGACAGAATAACTCACCAAAAATAGCATGTGCACATCATGAAACGTTGTGCTATACCACAACTGTACTTCCAACTCTTGAAGCTTTGTGTGCTGTACATGAAAAACATTACATGCTGTTATATCATCGATCTGGGCGTTGCTCCTAGAGAATAATTAAAAGCTAGTTTAATGAGGGCAAGTCTAATTGAGATGGAGAGAAAAGGTTATAAATTTGTGTCGTTGTGTACATCTCAATGAGTAATGGTCAAATGCATGCGTTATGATAAAATGGTGGGATGTAGCGGCTCAAAATTCATGTGTATCGGTACAGCTACAAAAGCCTGGGGAGGACACTTATGTGATAAAGCTGACTGTATGCTGTATGTGAAGAAGCTTTGTATGCTGTTGTGAAAGATTTACTCAGTAGAAGGTAACATGAGGATCGGTTGCTTCAATTTATTAGGTATCTGTCGACCGGTTTCGCCCTTTGGCAGGCTTCTTCAGGACAAAATACAATTTTTTTTAACCCCTAAACGGCCCCAGATAATGGGAGCGGTCCGTGCAGATATAATTGTAGGATTTGTAACCACATGATACCAAGTAGAACATTCACTAGCTATTCGACTAGAGAAACGCACAAGATAATGGGAAGTATTACATGTCGGAGTACAAATGTGATATATTTAATCACATGTAGGAAATGCGGTATACAATATGTCGGACAAACGTCAACAACTTTTAATACGCGCATCAGGAATCATCTGTATTCAAACTCGGACCCGGACAAACCCGTGGCGGGACATTTCAGTACGTCCGGTCACAATACCAGTGATGTGGTTGGCTTAGCGATGGACGTAGGCATGCTAACACTGCACATTCAGCCATAAAGACATGGCATAGATGTAAAATTTGCAAAAGGTCGTACAGGAGGATGGAAAACTGTAGGAAACATCAAGTAAAGGAACACACAACCTATGGGATTGAACCTGAAGTGATAAAGACACTTCCAGGGAATATGCAAAGAATCATTAACTAAGAAACAACTAGACCTAGTGAAATTTCGGATCATCCTGGGGCGGCAGGTCATCAGTGTGGACCCGCTGAGAAGTCCCGACTGGTCTTGGATCAGGCGATGGAAAGACTCGAGGAAGACCTAGAATTGAGCAATGACTCTGAGTCGTTTGTGTCTACACCCAATACTTCGGAACATGGAGGGGAAGAAATATCGATGAACTATAATTTATACAGTTATGTATCGGAATCCAGGGAGACACTATGTCTAGACAAACTAAAATAAGCGTTAAGCAGAAACAGAACAATATGTATGTGCAGATGTGTATAAAAGAATTAAACACTAACCGTGAAGGATTTACCGAGATGATATACGGACATGGAAAAAATATGAGAATACTTGATAAGAACTTAGAAATCTGAGGAGTTATCTCGCTTGTTTAAAATGTCAGGGGCGTGACGTCATAATGCGAAATATGTTATTAATAGGATAGAGCACCCGCATTTTTAGTATTTAGGGGTTAAGAACATTTGTATTTTCTCCTGAAGAAGCCCGCTAAAGGGTGAAACCAGTCGACAGATACCTAATAAATTGAAGCAACCTATCCTCATGCTGTTGTGATTGTTACCTTCTACTGATTTGCTCTACTGATCAATCACCCTGAATACTTCCGGAATCCAGCTGAAGGATAAAGGACCCTCGGATCCACCCAAGTAACAACGAACGGCATTGGCTCTACCTCTGAAAGTTTTACGGTAGTGATTGGTATGTCTATGTTTATCTTAACACTTGGTTTTATCACACAGATGCAGAACTATGTTGTTGGTCGGAGATGATTCTCCTCACATAGATGATGTCATTTATATGAACAGCAGGATGGACCCACAGGAAACAGATTTTTTCAAGGTAAGAAGGTGACTCAGCGAAGGCCTGTCAGCTCAGAAAATATGGTTTTGACTCTAAATATTTGTCAAAATTCTATTAAAATATAATAGTATTGATTAAAATATCATTTTATTGATTTTCACAGCTGAAAACATGAGCAGTTGTTTTCAGAACTTAAAATAAGTCAGAAATAATATCTCATTTCAAATCAGACAACAATTCCAGAATTGGTAAAAAAAAATAAAAAAATATACAAAACCTGCATTTCACACAGTGATATACTTATACATGTATATATATATATGTAGATTTGCTAGAGTTTTAACATGTTCCTAAGGTCTAAATACATTATCTATTCTATGTTATCACAACAAAAAGTGTGAATCCAATCACATTACACCATAATTGCAAGAAATGGCACCCTATTTTTGGTAAATTCGGCCACATGAGAGAACAAGTTATCGTGAATTGGTAAACACATTGATTGGGAAAATGTACGGACAGAATACAGGGTAACTAATTTCTCTTAGATTGAATATGGATTTCCTATTTAATATTGAATACTGACAATTTTATGTGCTGCAATGACGGGGAAAAGTCGTCATGTTTGTGTGGGTCTGCTGCAAGGTCAGGTGACACTACTCACCGACAGGAACTCACCAGGCAATCTTATTCTAGATTGAACTGTCAATTATGCAAATTAGAGCTTGATAAAAAAATAGTTAGGGAGTCCTTTCCTTACAGTTAAAGTACATAATGGTATTATCTTTTTTAATTAAGGCAAGCAGAAGTCAGGAATGTTTATTGATTTTTAGGTCGCCTGAAGGGGCTGTTGGTGGTCCTCGTCAGTTATATGTTAATGACTTCCTTTATGTGCACACACTTGTCCAATATCGCTATCTAGTTCAGTCTGATTTGGAGACACTCGGTAAATAATTATATATTAGAAAAATGTGAGGTTTGTCAACAAATATTGACCATCCATCAACAATTTGTTCAACTTCCTTTGAATAAATTTTAACCAAATTAAATTTGAAACATCCTTAGGAGGTAGGGATTCAAAATTGTACAAATGCAGCGGATACACCACCAGGGACTAAGGAGGGGTCAAAAATGGGTAATTGGACTACATTGCTTTAAAGGACCTTTGGTTTTTATATTGTTTGCTTACAGATCTCTGACTGTGGAGGGATGCCTCTAGAGGAACAGCCAGGCAAAGTGTGTGAGGCATTCCGCCTTTTCCTGCAGGGAATGGGATATGGTAAGTGGATTTTAGGGTCTTTCTCTATCTTGTCTGAATGTAGCCTCCTACCCAACACCAAGCATACATAATGTACCCCCAGTAGTAAACAGTAGTGGGTCTGTTTATGTTAATCTAATTATAACTTACTGGCAGTATACTCATATAGATGTGCACAGTATACTCATTCAGATGTGCACCATTTCAATATATATTCTAAATATATGCACATTATTACAGACATACAAACACTAGTACAGTTGTTATGATTTATTTCTGAAGGTAGTGTTCTCATTGAAAGCTGATTGCCAGCAAAAATAGACTGCTACTCATCAACATTTTTTTAACACCCATATAGGTTAATGTGAACATTCAACAGGCTATTTTAAAAAGAAAAAAACCCAAACTCCATCTTTTAAAGCTTTGTGAGAACACTTAATGTGCATTATTAGCACATCATTGCTATGGATATGTAATGTATATTCCTGCAGATTTGTATCCTTTATTTTTTAACAATATATGTGATAATATACTATTACAGATTTGCACCATTAAGTGTAGATAGAGACTCCCAGAAAATGTACATGGTTTATTAGATACAGAGATATCCTCACATATGTGCATAGTGCAGCATAAAAACTCTCTCACAGATATGAATCATTAATTATACCTCCATTTAGTGGAAGGGGTGCATGGTAATAGCTTTATCTGTAAGGTTCTACACTTTATTGGACTTCGGTGATCATTAATCATACTTTTAGGGTTAAAGGTCACTCCTGATCATTTTGGTGAGGTGAAGGGTATATACATTGGGGAATAGCCTGCAGGAGCTAATATACAGTATTTGTTAAAACCTTACTAGATAGCCCCTAGCAGATCTAGATAGCCCCTAGCAGAACTAGATAGCCCCTAGCAGATCTAGATAGCCCCTAGCAGAACTAGATAGCCCCTGTCTATATATATACTAGTCATGGGTAATACATTGAAACAACTTTTATAATAAAGGGATAGGTATATATACATGTATGTACGGATGTATTGATCTCTGTAAAAAAACTTAAAACTTAAAAAACTCTGTATGGTCAAACCCTAGTGTGCCTGTGGAGATGGCAACATGCCCCAATTAACTAATGTTGTGCCAACATTCAGTTTTGATTGATTTTCAATTGATTCAAGCGATAAAATTGTATGATATTATTTTTGTTTTTGTTTGTATACATCTGGCAATAACATTTATTTGGATTTGTTTGTTTTTTTATGTTATGGCATTAATTATCTAGGTTTTGGGATATTTCTGCTAGTGCTAACCATTAATTATGTAATAAAGTGATTTTCAAGCAGAGGTGCATCATTTAAACAGAGAAATATTTCTACAGTAGCCAATATTAATTTATACATGTTATATAGACATAATCAACATACAGACAGACCCTCTTCATGTGTAGAGATACACAACACAAATTGAGTGTAAAACAGAATATAAGTTACAAATAAAAAACACAATCATGTAGGATCATAATTTTCACATTATTTCTTGCAATTTCTATCTAAATCCTATTTCATGAGCAAAACTTTTATCCTAATGAGTTCAGATCTACTTATTTCATCTGTACCTGTAATCATTCTCTCCTTAACTGTTTCTTCTGTCCTCCTTAAGTTCCCATGAATGGCATTTTGTAAGTATAGGGAAGAGTTAGATTGCATGCTGTATTATAAATAGAGTATTGATTAATTTTTTAATGCTGTGCAAAATATTTTGGTATATTTTTATCTATGTTATACAATGATTTATTTCTATTTGGCAATATTTTGATATTTTTTCCCCACAGTTTTGAGTATATTTTGTTTGATGATTGAAAGTAGCTCTTTTTTGCTTAGAGTTTGAAAATATTTGTATTTCAGTATTATTTGTGAAATGTGTACAAATACCCACTTTTTGCTGAAAATCATCAATGGATATTTGTTTTCAATTTGAATGCTTCATAAAAAAATTGTGTTGCATAACTGATTCCATTTATAATGTCAATATTCAATAAAAGATTTTAATCTAAAAGAACAGATATTTACTGATACAGTGTTCAGTGAAAAAATTTTGTCATACAAATTATATATAAATAACTGTTTTCAGTGCAGGGTAAGAATATAGTGTTCAGTAGAGGAGATGCTATGTCATTCATTGTCAGCTCTCACTAACTGTTTTCATGGTTTCTTGTTTCTGTACATGTTGTGCTAGGGATTGTACTTGCTTCTCTTATCTCTGAGTTTGCCTTCATATGCTTCAAAATCATTTTAATTTACTTGATATCTTATTGTTTTGATACACCTTTTAGACTCACTGCCAGCACATATATTTATCTGTTTACATCTATACATATGCTCTACAGAAATTACTTAAAATCCTGGTCTGATACAGATAATAATTTAAAAAAACTAACTCAGTACTCGTACATTAATTATGTAACACATAAGCTAGGATTTTATTTAACCATATTTTCATAGTTAAAATGATACATAGTTTAGAAAAAACACCTTAATTCATGTTTTAAAGAAAATTGATGTAGTACACTGTTACAAAGACATTGAAAGTAGCAGTGTAGTAAAAATTTATGCTGAGGAGTTTCAGGACACATCGGATATAAATCAAGACGATGTATATATCTATTTAACCATATTTACAACAAATTTGTAATGATATAAATATAAAAATATATTAAAGTACTTTTGTAGGATTGGCTTCGTAAAGTACTCAAATATTGCCTTTCAAGGTTGTTTCTGAAATCAGTATTAAAACATGTACCTTTGTCCTGTTTCAGTCCCAACTCTGAATCGGTTGCCAAGTCAAAAGCACGTCACCAACAATAACCCACAGAAGCTGATCAGTGCAACAGATTTCACAAATGTCACGCCTGTCTGTTGATCAGACCAAATACTGACATTTCTTGAGCCTTTATACTTAGGGACCGAGCCAGAAATGTGAAGGATGCACCCATTAACTGGCCATGTCATCTTAACTCCTGTGATGTTGAGTTCCATCTAAATGTTTATTAAAGGACGTCATCCTGTTTCTAAAGTCATAAGCTGTCATAGTTGATTCTGAACACTGGAAGAAAAGTGAAGATAAAACTGGTTTTCTATAATAAATCAAGGTTTTCATACTACTGTAAGAGTAAAAAACTGATTTTCTATGATAAGTTAAGGTTTTCATACTAAATTACAACTTCATGAATACAGGAAGGTCGAAACAAAAAGTATTTAGATTGAATATATGTCAGCACCACTGTAGAAAAGTTAGTATGTATTGTTTAGTTTCATTAGTACTCACACAAGAGAAGATAAAAGAAGATTTTGTACCATTATGTAAATTAATATCTTAAAGATAAGAGAAAAGATGCACTTTATCCATATTGTGACAGTTTGATGTATGTGAAATTTTCATAAAAGAAAAATCCATTTATGCACAACATCTTTTTTATCATGATAATTTTGTTACAGCATCTATGAAGACTGTAGTAGTTTGTAGTTAAGTTAGAGACATGGATTTGTGTTGCAATTTGTAATAATGGCAGATTTTTCATGCAAAAAGAAAAAAGAAAACCATTCCATTTGAGAAGATGCAGAGATATCGTGATTTATAATTGAAACACATCATTTGCTTTTTTATCTGACTTTGTGTTGGTGTTCTGTCAAAATTCTGTGTGCAGTTTAATTATTTTAATGGCTTAAAAAGGGTTTATTTAGTAAGGGTTTGACATACAACTTGTGCCTATGTATCTATGTACACGATGTATCACAGAACAGAAAGGTATACAGACATATGTGTGAATATATTTCTGTTCATTATAGTTAAGCTTTCTGTTGTACACTCAAATACACATTGAGGAAGTCATTTCTGTGATTTGTAATTGATTGCATACTGTGTCCTCTCCTTAATCTGGATTCTTAATTATATGAAAATTAATGTACTTGAGGACTTTCATATTATGGAACCTAGTTATGTTTGTGATGTTTTCTGTTAACATTAATATGTTAATTTGGAAAACATAGTAGCCCAGACTTGATTTTGGAGACCAATGTCAGATTAATGAGGTTTCACTGTACACCAGACTGTTTAACAAATACATTGAAGTTTTGCCAATTTTGAACTACAGTAATCATGGAAGTTGTTTCCATGGTGAGGCTTATCAATATTCTGCCAATTCACGTTTGATTAATTATTAAAAAAAACACCAGAATATTTTTTATTTTGCAAAAATTTGTATTTCTCCTCATAAATTATGGAAGAGGGAACATAGATACACATAGCCAAATATAAACAGTTGCAAAATTAATCATCATAGATCTGTTCATTATCAAAAATCACAACAGGATGTTGATCTCAAGCAAGTGTTATGACATTCATGATTATCATTGTACATTAAAGAAAATCTCCAAACATGTCCCGTATTTAAATGCTAAATGATTGTTTTATTATACTGATCACAGTTTTAGGAATAAATGAGAATGCTTTCTTTAAGAGACCTAAATACAGGTGTATTAGATTTAAATTAAATATATCAATACATCCAAGACGCTACTTTACAAGTAAGTTTCATATATGAAATAATTACAAATGTAGAGACATTAACAAAGATGGTCCATTTCCTTGCATCAAGTTGTAGGTTACCATTTTACACAAGTCTAAACTTTGAATGCAAAATGTATAATAATTATATCTATGATTTATAAAAAAGTATGCTTCATTTTTTTGTATTTTTTTTTTTTTTGTATCCATTTTTATACAAAATTGCAAGGTTATGTTTATCTATTATGATTATAAATGGTATAACTTATTAATTTCCAATGAAATGTTTACAACACATTATGTATTTGATTTGTGTTAATATTGCAGATGTTCTGATAATATATTGTGTCAAAATGTTGCATTGAAATTTTGTAAATATTAATTATGTTAAAGGAGTTGTTGGAATTTGTTAATGATTCAAATAAGGTTTTGCTATTTGTGAATTTTTTGCAAATGAATTATAATGAGTTGAGAGTGAAGTTATGCATGCGTGTGTATATGTGTGCCAGTGAACCTTGCATTCCAAGCTATCTCCAATTTTCCACTCTAGTTTCAATTGTGTTCCATGTTTGTTTTAATAAGAAATTTTCTTGATATAGGTGTTATCAGGTAAAATGATATTTCTTCATGACAGCAATTTTGTAGTTTATGTAGTGACACCATATCAGTTATAAATCTCCTCTTCAAGACAAGAAGTATTTATCGCAACCAAATATTAACTCCAAAAAGCATTTTGAGATATTGAAATATTGAAAGATATAACTAGAGTCATAAACATGTGCAATGAATTCACCCATGCTATGTCATAATTCTGAATTCCAATAGACAGTGTTATTCACTTTTCTTGGTTATGACATAATCTTTTATCAGGTAATTTCTTGAAAAAAATGGAATTTCTTGCATAATATCAGAAGAACTCATGTCATTTCTGCTTCATTGTAGTTGTTAATTTTCAAGAAACAATTAGTGTAATTTCAAAGATTTTTTTATGTTTTTTTATACCCAGTATTTGCTGACAAATGTTGATTTCGTATAATGTGGAGATAACATCTTCAGCGTGATCCATTTGCTTCACTGAAGTTCGCTATTTGTTCTGTTTTGTGAATTCTAAAGTTTTTGTCAATAAAGTCATAAACCATGATTGGCTGCTTTCTATGGTATATTAGTGTAGTAGAATCTCATGTGTCATGTTGGTCCTTAGTGTAACAAACCAAATGGCTTTAAAATTGTTATCTCTCTACTTCTAACCGCTCAAGTCAAGATTCTTGGCAAAACTGAAAGAGCTGTATGGTGGAAAACTGCCCGTATTTCCCTAAGTCACCATTTTTGAAAACGGTGGAGAGAAAAAAAATCAGTCGCTAAATTGCACGGAATAAATATATAACCAATTGAATATGAAATTTTGAATTTTTGAGATATTTGGTATTGTTAATATAATACTGCAAATATAGTCATATTCACTATATGCATGAAAATGACACGGTTTCCCAGACTTAAAAAAATACTTTCAATACTTTCCCATCCGAGGACCAACTTTTGAATGCAAAAAAAAATCGTATGATGGAAAAGCTGTCCTCCTTTGGGAAAGTGCTCAAAATAATGAACAAGGTTACCGCGAGCGGTATATAATACGCCCGTCACACATTGAATGAGCAGTTGTTTGTATGATTGAAATATATGAAGTATTTGTGAGTAATTGATATTAAAAGAGAAATCATTCAACATAACTGGTAGATCAATGAGTGCAATACAACATCATGGAACGCATGCATCGCATTAATGAAACCAAGGGTAATAACTCCAGTAATTA